TGAGAATAGAAATCTTATATTTAATTGATTTAGATCATACTTCTCTTTCAATCTGACTCTGAGACTATTATATAATGCACAGTGCATTACAATATACTCAGAATTCTCATTTGTATTACAGAATGAGCATTCTATTCAGTCAAATCTATCATCAAATCTTTGTATATAAGATTTGAAATAGTCATGTTCTAGTTTCAGCTGTATTATAGATGAGAATATTTTCTTTTTACATTTAATTGAACAAGATTTCCACTTGAGCTTTGTTTCAAATCTTGAATAATGTATACTCTTCTTTTGTTTCTGCCAGCTTTCATTTCACTTGTGTAAACAAGATTCTTTTATTTTTCTCCTTATAAAAGATCAGAACATAATTTTTTGAATAGATCTACTTAATTCTGCACTCTTTTTTACAGCTGAATCAGCCAATCTTGATATTATTCAAGTAGCAGCAGAGTTTACTCTAATCATACTTTTTAAGTGTATATTTTCTAATTATTCACATTTATATAGATATATACTGATTATTTGTTAGATAATATTAAGAGAATAACTTATTACAGTTATATTACTTTCACTATAAGAGATACACAGTTAGTAATAAATATTATAAAAACTCCGAGAAGTAAGTATTTTAAGAGTGCTATAGCTTTGTAATCTTAATTTTTTTTTATTTTTCTTTTGTATTTTTTTATTTTTATTTTTTATTTTTTTATTTTTCTTTTATTTTTTTTTCTTTCTCTTTCTTTCTCTTTTTTTCTTTCTCTTCTTTTTTTCTTGCTCTTTTTTTTATTATGATTTTTTCTTGTTATTTTATTTTTTGTTTTTTTATTATTTTTTATATTTTATATTTTTTTTTAATTAAAATGATATTAATTATAATCTGTATTTAGAAAAGTAATAATATTTAATAACACTCTCTGTTAAATTTTTAATAAATGAGTACTATGTTATAATATTATGTAAGTGAGGAAATGATTTCATAGTCTTATTTAATACTATTTTCAATAATGAGATCAGAATGAAAATGTAACTAAGAATTTAAATATATTCTTTATTTAAGACTAGATTTCTATTTGAAAAGTGAATCTGAGATCTTTAATATTTGAAATAATATAATTTGAGATTAATGTACTGAATACAAATCATGATTAGAAGTAATACTTTTAAATATTATAATAACTATAAAGTTTAATTCTGATCTCAGACACAGTTACACAGTCAGTCTAAAAGTAACTATATATCAGATCTTAAAATGAAACTATAACTTGAAAAAAATAAGAAAGTAATCTTATTTAATCTCATTTAGTTTTATTCTTGATATAAAGTTACTATTTTTAGACATTTTAAGGTTTTTTTTAGACTATTTTTAATTTTTTAAAAAGTAACACTTTTTAGTAACACTTAAATGAGATTTAAAGTCATTTAAAGCAATAAAAATAATTTAAATTAAGAAGTGAAAATCATGATTTCATTTGAAAAATATGATAAGAGTAGACAGTAAGTTTCACTGAGACAGTATAAGACTACTATTTAATATTAAAACTGTGTAATGAGATCAGTTGAATTGATAATAAAACTATCAAAAAATCTGGTTCTGATTTCAGACTAGACTGGCCGGCGGGACCATGAATTTCACATTTGGTCCCATTTGGTCTGGTCTCATACATTTCTTGGCGTGAGTCCCACCAGGACCAAGCCTCAAAAAAATCTGAAAATGGACCATTTCTGAGAGAAATGGCGTGAAAAATGACCAGATTTAATTCAAGAACAGTGAAATGAGAGTAATTTTCCAGGATAAACTGTGAAAGATGATCATTCTTTCAAAATCAGAATGGGACTGGGACTGAAGATCAAAATCAGTCCCATTCAGTTCATTCAGTGATTGCTTATATAATCAGAATTTGGTAATGATTATTGGTAATGCTCATGAAACAACTAAATACATTCTTGTGCAAGTTTATTCTCCACTTTCTCATGAAAACTACACTTCTCTGATATACTGTGATCAGAGGTATTAAACTGTCTGATAATTCCATGTTTTATAATCATGAGTTTCTTGATTGTTTCTCCTTGTAATTGTCCCTGGTGATAGTGACAAATATCTTGACTTGAGTTGAACTTTTGCTTCATTCCCACCCCTGCCAATGAAATTGTCAGAATATCATGCGCCATCAGTGTAACAGTTGGATATGTACTCTCAACAATTTTCCATAACTCTAGAATTGATTTGGCGTGTAAATTTGTCAGATCATCTTGAAGATAGCAGTCAAATTCAGTTTTACAAGCATGTAGTTTTGCCTGATTTTCAGTTGCAATCAATGTATGTAAGTCCTGTTTCAAAGTTAGTATTATAGTCCTATGTGATATGGAGTGTTATCAAAGATCATTACTTACTAGGGAATTGTATTCCACTGTCTCCACATCTTGAACATCTGCTTGTTCAAATCTCTGATAGTTGGCATTGTAGTAGTCTCAGGCTAATTTGACATATGAGTCTTATTCCTCCTCTGTTCAATCTTGAGAAGTGTAGATGTTAACTCAACAGGAGGGATCTAGTAGAGCTGCTACAGTATAGTACTCTGCAAAAGGTTGTTCCATTTTGCTGTAGTAATATGCCAGTTTATCCCTTGCAGCAACAATAGCCTGTGCTATAGCATCATCCCAGACTGAATTTCTTTTTGAGTGATTCAACTGCTTCTCAAGATAAGTAAATAAACTGTTATACACTCACCAGGCTGACTGCAGCATTGATGTACAAGTGATTGAGACTGTCTTTGTTGTCTTATAAAACTGAAACAGTAAATCAATCACATATTTCAACTGAGTCCACTCCATATCAGAAAGTTTCAATATCTGGATCTTTTCCTGATCAGAGTGTTGCACTCAATGATCAATCGCCTGATGCAATTGAAGAGCCTGAACAGTCATCTCATATGTTGAACTCCACTGTGTTCTAACATTCTGTATCATATTCAGTGGTGTGACTGATTTGTTTGTTTGTTGAATATCATGGAATCATTGTTGTTGTTTAGAAGAGATACAAATCACATTAGCAATGTTTTGAATCTATGATATTTAAATTATTAGCCAATCTATTCAAAATTAACAGTAGCATTATCAAAAAGCGTTATCAAAAAGCAATATCAAAAAGTGTTATCAAAAAACATTATCTTTTGCAAAGTGGATGCAAAAGTTACTTGAGTAACCACTTCCACCTCATTCTCATCCCAAGAACCAGCCATCTCATTATTCTTCACCTCAATGTTAAGATTCTTTACCAGTGTTTGCACCACAAGTTGAACCACATGAGCAATGCAGGGAATATGACCTTGTTTATCATTCCAGGAATGCAAAGCCAATTTTTGCTCCAAGCTCTTCACCATAGTGTAGTTATTCGCAGCATTGTCAGTTGTAATTGTAAGAAGACTGGGACTAATATTTCAATAGTCATTTTTAATCACAGTCATTAATACCTCTGTCATATAATCCCCAGTATGACTACTGATCAATGATTCAAATCCAATTAATGTCTCTTGATAAGTTCAGTTCTCATCAATGTAATAACATGTAACTTCCATAAATGCAAGATTGTTTGTACTAGTCCATGCATTCACTGTGAGAGACACTCTTTGATGATTCTTCAACTCTGATCCTAGATGTTGCATATTGACTTTGTAGTGTGTCTTGAGGTTGGACTGAAGACAGGATTGATGTGAAATATGAAGATTTGAATTAAGCATTTGAAGAAGTGTTCAGAATTCGGGGTTTTCAATTGATTGAAGAGAAAGATTCAGAGATATACACATGCGAAGTAATTGTTCACAGAAGTTATCAGATGAGAGTTGTGAAATCAGAGTACTGATACAGGGTTGTTTTTGCATGATTTTCTTCAAATTAGAAAGTTAGCATTATCAAAAATCATTACCTGGTAGAGCAACTTACCAGCTCAGTAGTAATTTTCTGATTATTTTCCTTTTATTGTCTGCATCCTGATGACTTCAGATGTTGAGAAATTCCTCCAGGGTCATGACCAGTTCATGATGAATGTTTCTGAATGAAGTTGCAGTGATTACAGCAAAGAGATGACTCTTCAGTAATCTGCAATGCAACCTGTTGATAATTATTCCATAGTTCATCTCAATATTTGTGTTGAGTTTTTCATAAATTTCATGACCTGAAATCAGATGTGAAGAATAAAGTGATCATTCATCATGATTGAAAGAGAGCATTCTGTGTTGAATTGTAAACAATGTAGACTTTGTGATTCACAGTGATTTCTTGAAGAGTTTGTGGATCTTCAATAGAAGTAAAAGAAGTGAAAGAAGTGAATTCAGAAGACATGATAATAATTTGAGAAAGATGATAATTTATTTTCAATAACTGATCACTGATGTGTGTAAGAAGAATTAATATAAGAGAAAATAATCTTGTTTCTTAGCTTAGTTATAATTTTAGTACTAACTCAGATTGAATATCATTGATGTATAAAAGTAAACAAACAATCTTGATTAATCTCTGTCATATTTCTTGAAATATATTAATATTGTGAAAGAGAGCATTATCAAATTACATTATCAGATGATATCATTAAAAATATATTAATATTGTGAATATCAATGTTGAAAAAATGTTGATACTTATACATTATAGTGATTTGTGAATCATGATAGTTAAATATATATATATATATATATCATTCCTGACTTGATTACAACTTGTACAATAATTTTTGAAAACTCAAAATCAATTTTAATTATTAATAATTAAAAACTTAAACTTACAACTAACTAATATAAAAAGAAAAAAATCTACTTCTTCTCTTCCTTATTCTTCTTATTATTCTCTACAATTCACTTCTCATTCTTCTTCTCCTTCTCCTTCTTCTTCTTCTCCTCCTTCTCATCTGAGGTGATAATCACCTCAAAATCTCTCTTCACTGCCTTCTCAGAGAAGGGTTCCTGCTACTCCCTCTCAGCCAGATCAACCTGCACTTCAAAATCTCACATTTCCTGGTCTGCTGCCTCAGGTTCCACCCCAGCAGCAAGCAGATTGACATGCTCAGAGAGCAGGGCTGCCTCCTCAATGTTCTGGATCATGGAGCACATTTGAGACCTGAACAAGGCCTCAATCCCCTCCTCCTCTGCCAGCTTCTGCTAATCAATTAGAGAACAGAAGTGTTATCAAAAATTGTTATCTCTCAATAAAAAACTTACCAGTTTTGACTTCTTTATCTCTCACTTTAATACCTTCTCAATCTCCTTCTGCTGCTGCTTATTTACAGCAACACTCTTCTTCTCTCTCTCTCTCTTCATCTTGGTCTCAAATCATTCTCAGGACTTCTCCTGATCTCATCACTGCTGCATGAGGCTCTTCACTGTCTTCTTTTTCAATCTCTCACAGGCAGCACCATCTGCATTATTCCTATACTTAGTTCAGTCTAAATCTATCAGAAGTGTTACTTAAAATTGTTATCATTCTGCTTCCTTGCAGAGCCTCTTCAAGGCATCATAACATGTCTTGCAATCTGTCTCCCCGTGCTTGAATGCCTCCTTCTTCTCTCCCTTCAATCTGTGACAGCGCTCACGCGCCTTGGTGGTCCGCAGGACCGCAGAATATTTGAAGAGAGATGACATGATTGGTTTTAATGAGCATTGAAGAGGGGGTGAAGGCAGGTAATGATATGATGGTGATGATGATGATGATGATGATGATGATGATGATGGTAATGATGATGATGATGATGATGATGATGATGATGATGATGATAATGATGATGATGATGATGATGATGATGATAATGATGATGATGATGATGATGATGAAAGAGAAAGTGCATTGAAATATATTATTGACTTATCAAACATAAAGAGACAAAGAAACTATTAACAGCTTTCAGAGATGTACAGAAACAGCTACAGTGTTGCATAGCAACATTATCTTTATTCAATGCATGCACTATTGGTATTCTTTGTATGCATTTATCATATAATCTATATCAGGGATACATGCAGAAAACAGATCTTTGTTGCTAGGAAGAATGGTTACAGTGATTCTCTGTTTTCATATTATAAAGATAAGTTATTCTCATTTCTTTCTTCTCTCTTTTCTCTTCTTCTTCAACTCATCACTAAGTCCAAGCTGGTATGAAAACTATTAAAACACTCATAGAAATTCTTAAATTGAAGAGTATAAACTAATCAAATTTTAAATGCAGATGAATCAAATTAATTCAACAATACTAATTATTCATCCCCCCCTCAATAAAACAACAGTCATGTCTTCCCTTCCCCTCCCCTCCAAATGAAACATGGCTCGCGAAAAGCGAGTACCACGCCAGGCCATAATGGCCAACACAGCCCCAGCACGCAGGGCTGTATATGCACAGCGTGTGCTGGACTGGGAGACTGCCTGGGTTGCAAACCAATGGCAGCATTTCAGGGAGAGCCGTGCAGCGTGAGAAAGCCGCAACCCTCAGCCACATGTGCAGAGGGTGGATCACTGCAGTAAGTGCATGTGCATTGCATGGAAGTAATGCTTTTTGATAACACTCAGTCTCTGATATCATGAAAATAGAGTCTCTCCATGAGATCCGTTTTTACCAGAAGTTGAGGGATCTTATATTTCTCAAGACCACCTTCACGCGCCTTGTCCGTGAAATCAATGAGAGGAATCATCAATTTCAGTGTTCTGTCCTTGATGTCATTCAAGTGGCAGCAGAGTCCACCCTGGCCACACTTTTTAAGTGTATATTTTCTAATTATTCACATTTATACAGATATATACTGATTATTTATTAGATGATGTTAAGACAATGACTCATCACGGCCGTGTTACTCTCACTGTGAGAAATACACAGTTGATGATGAACATTGTGAAGACTCTGAGAAGTGAGTATTTTGAGAGTACTGCAGCCCTGTGATCTTGATTTTTTTCATTTTTATTTTTTGTTTTTTTCTTTTTCTTTTCTTTTTTTTTTTTTTAATGTGATTTTTTCTTATGTTTGTTTTGTTTTTTGTTTTTTGTTTTTTTTTGTATTTTATGTTTTTTTCATAATTAAAATTATATGAATTATGATCTGTGTTCAGAAAAGTAATGATATTTGGTAACACTCTCTGTTGAATTTTCAACAAATGAGCACTATGTTATGATATTATATAAGTGAGAAGTGATTTCATAGTCTCATTTAATGCCATTCTCAATAATGAAATCAGAATGAAAATGTGACTAAGAATTCAAACATATTCTTTATCTGAGACTAGATTTTTATTTGAAAAGTGAATCTGAGACCTTTAATATTTGAAATAATGTGATTTGGGATCAATGTGATGAACACAAATCATGATCAGGAGTAATGCTTTTAGGCAACGTGACAACTGTAAAGTTTGGTCCTGGTCCCAGACACGGTCACACGGTCAGTCTATTTCAGACACAGTCACACAGTCAGTCTAGTTAATTCAGAAGAATTTAGATAGAAGTATCTGTAATTTTTAATAGAAAATAATACTGATAAATAAGATAGTTTTTAGAATTAGTAATTATATAGATTGAATTCAGTGATATTATTAATATAATAATTGATTTTTTCAGTTTACACCTTATTTACAGTGATTTCATCATTCAACTATGATTTACAGCTCAGCGACCGTGTCGCCGATTGAAATGGTGGAACAACCATAATCCGGTCGTGTAATAACCCTACGTTCTTCCCGTATGGGATAGGATAGATTATTACACACAACAACAACGTTATCCTCCAAGAAAGCGTCTGATCACATGACTCGTTTTCAGCGTCTGGCTGTGGAGAAGTGACACATCTCACAGACCTCTGAAATACGAGCCTCATCCTACCTGGATATCAGATAGATCTATATAAGAGCTGTCTGTCCAGGTGATCGGTCTTACCGCCCATTCATTCTGTTCGTTATCAAGTTTCCGTCACAATGGCCGCCACCACCAACGTCTTAGTCGACCATTCGCCCAATAACCCCACCAAAGCTCAAACCCGCGAGAACGCAGCCAATCTGATACTGATCGATAACTATGATTCCTTCACATGGAACGTGTATCAGTACCTCGTTCTAGAGGGAGCAAATGTGACGGTATTTAGAAACGACGAGATTACACTGGACGAGCTCATTGCAAAGAACCCCAGCCAGTTGGTTATCAGTCCCGGCCCAGGCCACCCTGATACAGACGCTGGCATAAGTCAAGATGCAATCCAACATTTTAGCGGGAAGATACCCATTTTTGGCGTTTGTATGGGACATCAATGCATGATATCTAGCTTTGGTGGGAAAGTTGATGTGACGGGGGAGATCCTTCACGGAAAAACTTCTTCCTTAAACCATGATTCGAAGGGTGTCTATGCCACCCTCCCACCATCCCTAGCCGTTACGCGCTACCATTCACTGGCAGGATTGCAGCTAACCATTCCTGACTGCCTCGAAGTCACTTCGTGGACTGAGTTTGAAAAGGATAGTGGCCGCAAAATTATAATGGGGGTTAGGCACAAAGAGTATACTGTGGAAGGTGTTCAGTTTCACCCAGAGAGTATTTTGTCGGAACATGGGCGGACTATGTTTAGGAACTTTCTGAATCTTCGTGGCGGTACCTGGAAAGAAAACGGCGGCCTTGTTTCTCAGCCAGGTGAGGCAGCAGCAGCCCTGAGCAACGGAGTAAAACCTACAAAGAAGGAGTCGATTTTGGATAAGATTTACGCATATCGCGAAATTTCAGTTAGTAAGCAAATGGCGATTCCTTCCCAAAGACCAGAAGACTTGCAAGCCGCATACGACCTTGGGATATCTCCGACCCAAATATCATTTCCAGACCGGCTGAGACAGACATCGTTTTCGTTGTCACTGATGGCAGAGATAAAGAGGGCATCCCCATCAAAGGGTCTCATTTCGTCATCTACTTGTGCTCCAATTCAAGCTCGGAAATATGCCATGTCTGGAGCAAGTGTTATATCGGTTCTTACTGAACCGGAATGGTTTAAAGGAGGCATTGAGGATCTACGGGCCGTTCGCCAGAGCCTTGAGGGCCTCCCAAACAGACCGGCTGTACTACGAAAGGAATTTATTTTCAATGAGTACCAAATTTTGGAGGCTCGATTGGCTGGTGCAGATACTATCTTACTTATTGTCAAGATGCTCGACACCGAGCTACTCCGGCGGCTTTACCAATATTCTCAACAACTGGGCATGGAACCTCTCGTCGAGGTAAATACGGCCGAAGAAATGAAGATCGCAGTTAGCCTCGGCTCTCAGGTTATCGGTGTCAATAACCGTGATCTGAAAAGCTTTGAAGTCGACTTGGGTACCACGAGTCGGTTAATGGATCTAGTGCCGGATTCAACAATTGTATGTGCCTTAAGCGGAATATCCGGCCCAGACGATGTCAAAGCTTATAGCACAGAGGGCGTAAAGGCAATCCTCGTCGGGGAGGCATTGATGCGTGCCGAGGACACAAACCTCTTTGTCTCCCAGCTGCTAGGTGGCGGGAACCCTCTTCCTACGTCGATTCCTAAACGGCCCCTACTTGTGAAAATATGCGGAACCCGCACACCTGAGGCCGCGCGCACAGCGATTGCATCCGGCGCTGATCTAATTGGCATAATAATGGCGAAGGGGCGCACTAGAACGGTCTCGGATGATACTGCTCTGGAGATATCTAAAGTGGTTAAATCAACGCCTCGTCCAGCATCCACGGTAAGTGGAATACAGGAATGCATCAACGATACTTCCTCTGTCGACTATTTTGACTATTCGTCCCAAATACTCTGCCATCCTCGCCGTGCATTGCTGGTGGGCGTGTTTTTGAATCAACCGCTATCGTATATTATTTCCCAACAACAAAAGCTTGAGCTTGACGTCGTTCAACTCCACGGGTCGGAGCCGATAGAGTGGGCGAGCCTAATACCTGTTCCAGTAATAAAGAAATTTTCTCCCAACGAGCCAGGGTTATCACGACATGCCTACCATACACTTCCCCTCTTAGATTCTGGTGCTGGCGGCTCGGGTGAGAAACTCGACATTTCGTGTGTACAGGACTCCATTAAGAAAAGTGACAGCCTTCGGGTGATACTTGCTGGTGGATTGGACCCCTTGAATGTTGCCGACACGCTTCAGCAGCTAGGTCGATATGGAGACCGCGTGGTGGGCGTTGATGTTAGCAGCGGAGTTGAGTCAGACGGATCACAGGACCTGGAAAAGATAAGGGCTTTTGTGAAAGCTGCTAAAGCTTTCAGGACTTGATGATATGAGACTGATCATTTTATATATTGAACTTCATGTCCTTAATATAAAAAACAGAATAAAAATTCAGTTACACAGCTCCCAGCCCTGTGACCTGTGCTTCATTGCCGATTTTTATATTGTTTAGAGATCCCTCTCAACCAGCCTTGACCTTTTATGGTTTCACTCTTCATACCAGTTAACCGTATCATACAATTAACGTTTTTATAATCTTCATCTTATGACCATTTTAGCAGCATTCGGACCTTGGCCTCTTCAACTCACTTCATCGGAATCGCGCGCCTTTCTCTTCAAAAACTTTTCACTTCAACCTCAGCGCACGCCCGTTACCGAACTTCTTCCCCCCTTTCCCCACATATACTTTGGCGTTGAGACAGGAAATTGCAATCTTGAGGAAACCCCCGCCATATCCAAATAAAAGACGCTATTCCCGGTCTGCTTGGCTTCTCACAAGACATGGGGAAGACTTTCCGCAAGCAACACATCAGCCTGGCTGGTGATTTCGGGCCAATCTCCGAGAAGATCAAGCAGTGGGTTGAGGCCAACGGTGGTGATTTCTCAAAACACCCTGAGAAAGGTGCAACAACTCATCTTATCACGACCAAGGATGCGTTCCGGAAGCGCGATGCAACGGGTATATAACCATATACCTCCTTGGTTTCCCTAGCTTTCTTCGTTGTGTATTTTATTCTACTTCTTCTTCTCTAAACAAAACTAGCGGTGTGGCGAATTATTCACCTGGTGAATTTCAACTTTCACAGTCCAACAGGCTCGCAAAATCAAGGGCCTTAAAATTGTGAAGCTGGAATGGCTTGAGGATTCCCTTCTGTCCAAAACCAGGCGACCCAAACGTGAGAATGAATATCTGTGGTACCAAACACGAGGCACCTGCAAGAGGGATACAGGAAAGCGCAAGAATGCCTCCAAGAATATTGATGGCGTAGGCTCCAGTATGTTGCTTCACTTACTGAAATCGTGCAACGACAATTCCCGCTATCAAGGTACTAAATAAATGAAACATGGCAACAGACTGCTTGAAAAAGCAACGGCGTAACCATGGTCCGGGAAATGAGGTTGGTCAGTGCAGCTCTTTGTAGACCCGGTAGACACTCGTTTCATACTCTGCTCACTGGTGATTAATAGACGACCATCATATATTTACCGATTCTGAAGGATTTTGTGCGCCCTCTGGAAGACGTCAGGTTCAAAGAAAAACATACCCTTCAAGTATGAATGAAAAAACACTGGGTTCGAATTGCTAGCAATTCTCTCTTGTCTCCGTATCCGATTTTCATATCTCCCACTAAACATACAATACAGCTCTACGAATCTGATTCAAGCCCTCATGCCTATGTAGCGTTGGTGAAATACACTCGGGTTGGAAGGGCTGGATCGGCGTTTCTTGCGCCGACTGGAAGTACATGGGAGTTCGCATTCGGAGCCTTCACCAAGTTTTTCAAGGCCAAATGTGGGAAACGATGGGAGGAAAGGATGGACGACACCGAGCCTCTACCGCGAAAAGACGGAGAAGGATGCGTCCTACCCCCGAGCGAGAACTGGTTGAGGTTTGAACCACAAACAGGGATACCGGCAGGCACTGCAAATCGAGTAGTTCCACTGCTTCGGCAGAGCAAAGACAGACGAAGGAAGTGGAATCATGAGAACTGAAGTGTAGTCAAGGAGCAGCCTCATACTGCGCTGCCGTAAATGGGACTGCAGCATATTTTTGATATATTGTGGCAGGCGTATTGCTTGCGAAAACAGAATTTTCCCAGCCCCCTCTGAAAATTAGTAGCAAAACACCACAAAAAAATCAAAATATCCATGTTGCTGTAGAATCATTCAATTATCATCCAATACACATCTTTTTCGTTCAATTATCATTCAAATACACGTCTTTCTTACCTTTATCATCAATATGCCATCTCAACTTAGTGATTTCACCACGGTTCTTTGTATTTTCTATATTTTTTAATATTTTGATATAATTTTAATATCTGTATTTTCTTTCATATAATTAATATTTAATCTGTATTTAACATCATACAACAACTCATTATAAGTTTTACTTGTATATAAGTATAATAAAATAATAATAATAATAATAATAATAATAATAATAATAATAATAATAATAATAATAATAATAATAATAATAATAATAATAATAATTTATAAAAATTAGTGAAAAATCAACTTGTAAATATTTTTTTTAATGAAAATAATTTCATAAAAAGTAAATCATTATATGAAATTATTAATTTTTACAAGAATAATTAAAAGTTAACTGAAACTTTTTTAAATAAAAAATATGAAATAAATTAGTATAATAGTCAGAGAAAAATCTATAAATTATATAAAAATTTCACAGAATAAAAAACTGAGTAATAGACTTTTTTCTTTTTATAGTAATTATTAGACTGACTGCTGAGACTATGAATTTTACATTTAGTTTTATTTGATCTGATCTCATACATTTCTTGACATGAATTCTGCTGAGACTGACTATCAAAAAAACAGATAAAGTGACTATATATCAGATCTTAAAATGAAATCATAACTTGAAAAAAATGAGAAAGTAATCTCATTTAATCTCATTTAGTCTCATTCTTGATATAAAGTTACTATTTTTAGACATTTTAAGGTTTTTTTAGACTATTTTTAATTTTTTAAAAAATAATACTTTTTAATAACACTCAAATGAGATTTAAAGTCATTTAAAGCAATAAAAATAATTTAAATTGAGAAGTGAAAATCATGATCTCATTTGAAAAATGTAATAAGAGTAGATAGTAAGTCTCACTGAAACAGTATGAGACTACTATCTAATGTTAAAACCATGTAATGAGAGTAGTTGAATTAGTAATGAGACTATCAAAAAATCTGATTCTGATCTCAGACACAGTCACACAGTCAGTCTTAGACTGGCCGCTGAAATCATGAATTTCACATTTGATCTCATTTGATCTGGTCTCATACATTTCTTGACATGAATCCCGCTGGGACTGGCTATCAAAAAAACATGTAAAGTGACTATATATCAGATCTTAAAATGGAACCATGACTTGAAAAAAATGAGAAAGTGATTTCATTTGATTCTATTTGATTTCATTCTTGGCATAAAGTTACTATTTTTAGACATTTTAAGGTTTTTTTTACACTATTTTTAATTTTTTAAAAAGTAACACTTTTTGATAATGCTCAAATGAGATTTAAAGTCATTTAAAGCTATAAAAATAATTTAAATTGAGAAGTGGAAATCATGATCTCATTTGAAAAATGTGACAAGAGTAGACAGTAAGTCTCACTGAGACAGTATGAGACTACTATCTAATGTTAAAACTGTGTAATGGGATCAGTTGAATTGATAATGAGACTATTAAAAAATCTGGTCCTGATCTCAGACACGGTCACACGGTCAGTCTAGTCAGTCTAGTAATTATACTAATTAAAGATTTTTTCTTACTAAGATTTTATTTTATAAATATAAAGAGTTTTTAATAAGTATTACTATAATACTAAGTCTGATTTTATAAAATTATTCACTGAAAAAATTCATGAATAAAACTTTAAAAAAAGAGAGATATATAAGAAATTCTATTTTTCATAATTTTTTTATTTTTATTTTAATCTCTTATATAATTAATAGAGTTACTGACTCTTAATTATATATAATTATATAAACTGAAGTTTGTAACTATTATTCACAACTCAACTTGAATATTATTATATATTTATTTTTTATATTTATTTTTCTACTGTGAATACTTTTAGTAAATTATTAGTATATATTATATCAAGCTGTGAATCTCTGAATAATTATCTATAAGTACTTATTTTTATATTTAATCATAATCTTATTGTACTCTGATTATGAATATTATGTGATTTAAGTATGTCTAGCTCATTACAATTTAACTGATATATTATTAATATATTAACAATTTCTAATTAATTGCACATTGTGAAAAGATTAATGATTGTTTATGCATAACTTTTTTTGAAACATTTTGACATTAATTACAGTGATGACACAGTGAATCTACTGTTATTCGGAGCCACTAATTTCCGGTATGAATACTGCGTACTGCAGCAGTGCTGGTCAATTATTCAAGGCGCTGATGGGCCTTTCAATCAACCACAGCCCCGATTTTCAAAGGCTTAGAGAGTAAGTTCGCCTCCACTCAAATCCCAGGCACCAAACTGCAGCAATGATTGAGGAAATTTGATTGATCGAGATAATTTGCAGTGAGAATAGAAGCTCTTTGCATGCTGGTAATAAAGTTAATACTCTCTTCCCTTTTCAATTTATATATATTGTATAGAGATGCTTTAAAATTAGTTAACTCTCGAAGCCGCGAAGAAAATGTGGTCGGATATAGATTTATCCGCTTCCGGTAACTAGGGATCCACTAAGCTTAAATGAGTTAGTTAATCTTTTGTTGATTCAACCCGCGCAAATACAATTAAGCTTGAGTGAGGCCCTTTGGTTGTGACATCTGGTCCTGTTGTGCTTCTCAAGCGCGACTAGAGTAATATCTCACGACACGTTCTCGGTGACGGGCCATGATATAATAGAGAACCATATGGCTCCACCGCCAGCCGTGTATTTTCCGTCCCTGGACGAATGCTTCTCTGGGGACTTCCAACTTATGTATGTCTGCCAGTTATCAGCCCATAGGAAAATTACTGACCGGATTGCACATTAGATCATGGAAATCGGCTTTTCTACGGTTGGCGAATGCAAAGACAGATGTCGGGGAAGCTGACAGTCTCTACAAATTTTTGTCTTGCCCGGAGAGCATCCGAATTCTTTCTAATCCCTTGAACCCGTTTACTCCTCCGAATGAAAAATCTAAGTCCGATTTTCAGTCCAAAACTGCTGCCATTCATGTGCCAACAGGTATTAAGGGTCCTTGGAATTTAGACGAAATAAAAAGTGACGCGACGTGGTTAAGCAAGCGGACACAGATCAATGAGATTTCTGCACTCAGAATTGTTGTGTACGAACGCCAAAATCGACCCGGTGACCAGCTTCTGAGCGAATTTTCCGAGGAGGAGACGACAAGCCTTCAAGGTGCGATTGGACTTGGCAACCTTTCGCAGTCTACTAAGGGAGCCCAGGCTACTGAAATTCTAAAATACAAGGGGGAAACAAACCTCCAGCCAAATGGGTTTTCAGAAGAGGAATTAAGGCATTTGAAGTTATTCCAGCTATATTTGTCGGAAAAACAGCATATACTCAAAACTTCTCTGCGACTTTTATGTGTGGCTTTGCGTAAAAGAGCACCTGGTAGCCATTACGTGGATTCCCGAAAACCACGAGTTGAACGTGCTCAGACGAAACTAGAAGAACTAGGAAAATCCATATTTGGGCTTCAATCCGGGAAAGGCACTGATGCCGTTTCTATAAAACAGTGCATTGAGGCTGTTCGAACCCGAATTGGTAATTTAGAAGCTGGGAGTGGGTGGCTTCTTCCTGACGAACCCAATGTGGAAATCGAGCTGGCCTGGCAAACGAACGTTCTTGAGGAGCTTAACCAAATCCTTCAATTCCTTGTGCTTCAACTTCAATCCTCGAATGCCATCCCATCCGCGGAGCTCTTCCTTTCTTGGCTACGTTTAATGGCCGAATATGATTTCCTTGAAATCCTACTCCCGGTAAGTTTTAGTCCTGTGAATGTGCTCCTCACATGCCTAACTAGAAATTTTACAGGCTATGGAAGAACAGAATATCATACTTGGTCCTCTTCAGGCTCTCATTGCGGTTGCTACTCTATCTTTTGTCAAGCTACGAGAATCTACCTCATATTTTGAAACGGTGCCGCACTTGTCTACAATCCCAGAACCCTCAACTGGTAAAGCCCCTTTTTTCATGTCTCGCGATAATATCGCCGAAATAAACGAAATATGTTTGAAGGCAGCCAATGTGGGCTGTTTAACTGCCGCCCCTATGATTTTTGCATTCGCCATTGTTATGTTTGCAGTAAGGGAGATTGCGCTCTCCACGAAAGAGGAGCGTGAACTTCAGCAAGCCCAGCATGCTGTTGACTCTTTCAACAACAACAACGCCCCGTCCTCTTCTCCATCGCGAGTTGCTGAGCAGTCCATTTTTGAAGATATTTTTGAGAAGGCTCGTAACCCAGCTTTTGATGACGACTTTGTGAGGCTTCTTGTGACTAGCTCCGTCGATAAATGTCATGTATTTGACTTTATTGTTGCTCTAGTCGAAAGCCTTAGGCCAATTTCGGGTGCTGGTGACAGTGGCATGCTAAGCCGTTGGATAAGGGTAGAACTCTTGGATTTGATCCGTGCGAGTGTTGAGCATTTGGATTATATCCCTGAAGTGGTGTCGTCTGTCCTGTGTATTATCTCTGGCCCTACCGATGTTTGCAATGAACTTGCCAGTCCAGAGCTGAATGATGGTTGCGATCCGAGATCTATGTTTATTCAAGATCCGGTGCTCATTGATAGAATTTTTCGAGTTGCCAAATCCCGATTTCCGTACGAAGCTATTAATTTTTTGAAAATATGCCGGGCCCTGTCAGGCTCTAGCGTCGTTAATGATGATGGCCTACCATACATTGCCCAGGAACTGGAGAGCATGGAAACCTACACACAAATTGTCGCTCCTGGCTTCCAAGGATACCAACCCATCCGAGAAGATG